ACAACACCAATACACTCTACCAGGTATATCGATGAAAACTGTCTATATTCATTAGGTATATACCATAGTGTATTTTTCCTTCTCGACAAACTAGGCATGCATGATATTTTTGCTACTCAAGCACCAACCTACCCTAGGCTGACGTTCGAATTTTTGAGTTCTTTAATTTATAACGTCTCTCCTAACACTGCTAGCGCCGTAGGTGGAGTAAAATTTAGAATGTTTAATGTTGAATATGACTACTCCACTGACGGTCTAGCTGCCATGTTAGGATGGCCTTATGGGGATGGTGCCATTTGTGAAGCACCTTTAGACACGGATTGGGCATTTGAAGCATTTTGGGCCAGGATTACTAAACAAAATGCAACATCTTTTGATGGCCTACTTGCTTCTCATATCCACAATCCTGCCCTTCGTGTTTTTAGATTTCTTTTAGCATCCACCATCTTTGCTCGGGAAAACCTAAACAAGGTGAATGCTAAAGAATTAATTATCATGCAAAGCTGCCTCACAGACACCAAAGTTAATCCAGTCCCATTTATGATTGCCCACATGCACCATGTTTTAAGAAAAGGTGGGCCGATTTCCTTTGGTGGACTGATTACTACTATTGCCCGTGCCATAGGATTGGATACAGAACTTGCCACCCTTGAGCCATTTCCTCCTCGTATTGCAAATCTTAAATTTTTAAGGGATATGCGTTTATGCAAGACGAGGAGGGAAGGTGGTTACTTCCTCATGGTTGGAGGTGCCGCTGTACCCAGTGTTGTTATTCCCTGCACCCGTCGTACTGATATCAGATTTGAGCGTAACTGGACCTACGATCTCAACGCTCCTGCTTTTATTGGTCCGTTGCCCCCAAATCTACCTTTAAATGAGGGTGACAACACTGATGATGAGCGATTTCCATACGGAAGAACCACCCCACTTTTCACCACCACACACGACACCATCTACGTCTAACCCACATGCAGGTACAACTCCTAGTTTCCATGTCACTGAGGACATGTGGCGTGAGCATATGGCCCGAGAGGCCCAGAGGGACACCCTCCTTGCTACTTTGCAGCAACAGGCGACCGATAACATGGACTTCATGTAAGCATCCCAACAGCAAAATGCTAGCTCTCTGCGCACTATTATGGAAAGTCAGCTGGCTTTCTAGAGAGAACAACACCTTAACCAGACCACATACGCTCGTCACTTCCAATTGATGGAGGCAACCCAAGGCACCCTCATTGGTAGGACCCAAGAGCTACAAGCGGCAAATTCCGCCTTGACAGAGAGAATGGAGCAGTTAGTTTTGGACCGAGAGAGCCGCCGTCGCAGCCGTAGCCGTCGTTCCGGTCGTACCAACCAGGATGGTGAAGGTCCTAGTGGCCCCCACTAGCGTTTTCAGGTACCTCCTCCTACCTTATTTTGGAACATTGAGGACAATGTCGGATTTAAGTGTGGGAGGAGCATTTATCGCTTTTATTTCCCGTTTTTCCTGCTTTTATTTCCCTTCCGCATTTTTCCTTTTAGGTATGTTATATTCGTAGTTAATAAAATGCATGTGATAGGCGAGTCTTTCTGCGTAGTGTACCCTTTCATTTCCCCCACTTTTTAGCCTTACAAAATCTTTTTCAAAGAATTGTGGTTGTTTTTAAGGATTTGGGCTATGAGACAGGTCCTAGATAGGGTCTATTTCTTGGGCACTCACTTTTTGAAAAATTCGTTATCGTTTTAACACCGTAAGCCTTTTTGAACATTTAGATTAGATCCTTTCTTCCCAATATGCTATGATTTTGAATAAAACTGTACAAATAGGTCTTCAAGTAGTTTATCTTAGCAGTCAGCTCCGGCCTAAGCATGCTCTAAGTGTAGGATCGATGAATATAAGTGGATGATCTCTATTTTGCCTTAAAAATTTATAAAATAAAGTATGAATATGACTACGAGTTGGGTGATCCTCACAAAGATTACTCAACTCAAGAAAGTTGTAAGCACTAATAAAAACAAAGAAAAAAAATATATATATAAGGCACATCCGTTGTAGTTGGTCCAGAGGTATCTGGTGCTGGACTTGGTAGGGCGGACTACGGTCCGATCCCCCGCAACTGCAAATGGGTAAAATAAAAAGGGGTTAAACCAACTCTTGTACCAGAATCCCATCACTTGAGATCAGAGTCACTAACCGGTCACTACACCATGAGTATGTATGGATAACGGGCTTAATGTGATTGCGCCTGAATGAAAAAGGACCTCGTACAAAAAGAAGTCTTAGCATAGTAAGGATATTAGGATCGATCTGTATACTTATGAGGTTTATGTCCGCATTTCTGCAAGTAGTATAATTACGATACCCTTGGTTCAGATAGTTAGTGCCTGACAACACACCCTTACTCGAACTTAGAAGCCCTCTATGCCCAAAACCTGTATACACCATAATTTTCTTTCATCTACTTCTAAGAGTTGTTGCTTGAGGACAAGCAAAGGTCTAAGCATGGGAGGATTTGATCGCACTAAATTGCACTATGTTTCTGACTCAAATATCACATGTTTTCCTTAGTTTTTATTATCATTTTCTCGTATTATGTTCCTTTTTCCTTTGTTTTCAGGATTCTTGTCATTCCAGAGCCTTCTGTGAAGAAACGAGCCAAAACGCCAAGAAATTAGGGTTTTTAAAGATATTCTGCACTTATGGCGTTCAGCGCCGCGCCGGCTACAGGGAACGCGATGACGTGGCCCACTTTCACCCAGAGACCAACTGCCACGTTCCCACGATATGGCAGTTCCAGCCACCGCGCCCGCGGCCACTGCTACCGCGCCCGCGGCCTTCACAAAAGTTTCCCGCTCAGAAGAAGTTGAGGGGCATGCTGGTCTTTACGCATCTCAAGGATCCTCTATAAATAGTTTTCGATTTTCATTTTTTAGTTTCATCCAAGCTTAGTACAATCTTAAGCCATATACTATCAGTTTCTGTAAAGTAATAATCTCTTCACATCGGGGAGTTATTGCGGTGTAGATTGAGTTGTAATCGAGTCTTGGAGCACTTTGGTTGAAGTTCATCATACCAGCCTTACCATTCCGCAGATTTGTATCAGATTCAAGTCTGCGACTGGAGCAAGGTTCTATTTTATTGCATTTCTTTACTTATAATTGCTCTTACCATAGTCTACACGTTTTATAGACTCTAAATGCTCTTACCATAGTCTACATGTTTTATAGACTCTAAATGCTCTTACCATAGTCTACACGTTTTATAGACTCGCACTCTTTTACTTACTCGCTCTTATCATAGTCTACACGTTTTATAGACTCGCACTTATTATGTCTGGCTAAACTATAAAGGTTTGGATGTAATGATTGTCATCATGGTCGTGTTCCAATTATCATGCTAGTGAAAATACTCTGGGGATGTTTTGCTTTTAACTTAAGTCAATTATGTTTAAATGTTTATTGGGTAAGATCGAAAGCCGTCCAAACTAATGATACGACTTGATTATTATTTAACCAAACAAAAAGAGCGAAAGCCGTTGATTGGTTAAATAGGAATCATTGACCTTTTTAGAAAACGATTTTGAAACTATTTTCGGACGCGTTTGTAGGTTTGAAATCTGACTCTTGGTCAAAAGCCAAAAGTCTCTTTAAGTTAATCTTTCCAAGTAAAATTACTTTTCTGTTAAGTCAAAACTATCAATTTCTTAAAAATAGGTTTACCTCTTTAACGCGGAAGGAACCCTTTATATGTGACAATAAAGGAATTTAATTTAAAGAGTAAATTCGGTTCTTAGTAGTCAAAAGCTACAAGTTCCCGTTAAATTGATTATTTGCTATCAATAGAAAATACTGCCCCATAAGTAGTTTCATCTACGCATGACCGGACCAATATCTGATTACTTGATTTACATTCCAACCTGTCTTTTAAACTGTTATTTACCTCGCTCATTTACTTTGTTGCACTGCACTCACATCAATATTCTTGTTCACCTTAGATAAGCACCTTAGCAATAGAGTTGATAGATTGACAATTGGTCTCTGTGGTTCGATAATCTTATATATTACTTCGATAGGCTGTGCACTTGCAGTACTATATTTAGGCTATACGTTACAGATTAAACCCATCAACTGCTGAAATAAACAGCGAAGAAGGTAAGTGACCTGTACCAAGGGTACCTGTAATGCAATGATATGTATGTATGCATGCGATGTTTTCAAGGATCTCGCGGGGTAAACAAGAAGATGGTTAGAACTTGGGTAGCTTGATTGAGGGAACTTCATGTTGTTGAGAGTCCTTCTTCAAGAGTCAAGGCTCACCATATCCAGTGGGTCATAGCCCCTGACTCGAGTTATCAACCTTGTTTTGATTTCCAGACAACCTTGGCTAGGGGAACCTTCTTCAAGAGTCAAAGCTCACCATATCAAGTGGGTCATAGCCCCTGACTCGGGTCATCAACCTGGCTAGAGGAAAATAAATCCCCTTTTGCCCCTTGCTAGGCATCATGACCTGCATCACAAACCTTGAGATCCTTGAAATGGATTAGTCCTTATGCAGGATGTATGCAATGGTATGATGGTATGCTATGCATGGAGTAATATGGATAAACCCTGTTATGAGTCCAGATTAAGGACTGTAAACAAAACCTGCAAGAAACTCAAGTGTCAGATAACAAGTATGCAAATAGTCAAGTTGGAAGGCACGCAAGTCACACAAGAGAAGCCCTTAGAGCTTAGGCCAACATGGGGTCTAGGTATTACCCTCTTTCAGTTTGTTGGTTAGGACCTGTCCTATCAGAAGTAACCGGGTTCTAGAGGATCCCAATATCACTGACTACCCTCAATCGGTCATAACTCCAGCATCGCAACCTTTTCTTGCGGCCAGAACCATCACGAGAGTTTAGCCTCAATGGGCGTAGCATAATGCTACCGTTCTATTGGCCAAGTTGAGTCATTTAAGGTTCTAAGGTCGGTTGGTGTTTAATGACTCCTCAGAAGACCCATATTCTCCTCGTTGCAACACAATGGATATCGGTACAGACCAAGGTGCCACACCAACGTAGCCACTGTTTCACCCATGTCGGTCTACGCCGGACATGTCCCTCACAGCTTATGCTACCTAACAGGGTATCCCCAGATCCGGGTTAGGATCTATGTAACTCCGATGCAACCCACAATAATAAAGCAAACAAAGCACAACAATTGAAAACACAGTTATGAACTATCCTAAGGTACACCTCACTTTATAAGAGTTTCCCTAGCAGAGTCGCCAGTTCTGTGATCGGTGGATCTGGAACTGACTGTTTAACGCTGGTTCGCGAAATGTCGCGGAAGCAAGAGTCGCCACCGTCTTTTATTTTCTCCAACATGGACAGGACAAAAGCACAGCAAAATTCCTTATGAGATAGTTTCTCGGTTCGGGAGGTAGATTTATAGAAAGGGAAGGTGTTAGCACCCTTTCTATCCATGGTTATCCATGGGCTCTTAGATACTTGCTCATTTGTGTTTTCAAAATGTTTGCTTTTCAAAATGTGAGTGGACTTTGAAAAAGTTTCTTTGAAAGATTTCTGAATAACTCTTGTATCTGTCCTCAAGAGTGTTTGAAAAATTTGTTTTGAAAGCTTTTGAAAGTGTAAGGTGTGAAAAGTATTTTGTTTGTTTTTGAAAAGAGCAAGTATCCATGAGTCATCTACCTACCCTAAGGAATTAAGCTGTGTAAGTGTCCTTTAGGTAGTGCCATCCCACCATTGAGGGGTAGGTAGCACCACCGTTGGAGGTGTTCGGGTCAATTCGATTTTAGGGACAGTGTGGTCACCGAAGCAACAGTTAGGACACCTTAGAAGCTACCCTTATGTCCTTGATCCTTTTTTAATCTGAGGCAACCGTTTCGAGGCAACTGTTTCGAGGCAACTGTTTCGAGGCAACTGGATCATGGACATAAGGACCGCTAAGACGTCCTATACTTGACGACCACAATTCGAGCTTGTAGGGACAGTGTGGTCACCAGAGCAACAGTAGGACACCTTAGAAGCTACCCTTATGCCATGTTCATGGACATAAGGACTTACTAAAACGTCCTGTACTCGACGACCACGTTTCGAGTGGCAAGGAAACAGTGAGGCGTACCCTAGAAGTGGTGTGTGAATTCTTGTGTTATTTTCAGTTTATGTTATATCTTGTCATGCATTTGGTGAGCTACGCTTTGTTTTTAATTGTCATGCATTCTTTCATACAAGTTAACAGTTAAAGGGGGTGCGGAAAATAAATTGCGGAAACATAAATCCTACGCTATTACAAGGCGCGGGTCTATACATCGCCAAATTTTTACAAAGACCCGTTTTAAGTAAATAAGTACGGAAAATAAAAAAATAGTAAAAGGTCCTATTTACTATTACATATCCGGAGCAATTACATAATAATCGGACAAATTAAATACGCATGAATAAAGAAAAGGGAATTAACTTCTTTTTTTGTCTTTTTTTTTTGGTAATTAAATGAAATTGAAAACTAATTAATTATTTTAATTACAAGAAAATATTTTTTGATTTTTTTATATTTTTTATGAAATAAAATAGAAATAAAAAGAAACAAAGTTAAAGATTAACCTAAATCTAAATCTATTTTAATTATTAAAATGTTCAAATGGCCTAATTAAAAACTAGTTCAATTATGATTTATTTACAAAATAAAAATAATAATAATAAAAGTGTTAATTATATTTTTTGTTTTTTATGAAAATGATTAATTAAATTAATTACTAATAACCAATAAAATAAAAGGGGTTAGAAATTAAATTAAAGAAATAAAATGAAAAGAAAGAAAAATGAACCCAAATGGAGGGGGTATTGGGCCAGGAATGGGGGTGTGTTGTTGAAACTGGAATCAAGTGTGCAAGCATTGACTGGGAACACCATGGTCCATGCCTCATAGCCATCAGATTGGCGTTAGTGGCCACTTGGCAGGATGATCACTTGAGATGCATGATGGACGCTGTTTGAAAGCCTGCATAGGAATACCTTAGAAAAAATAATATTGAGTTTTGGGGCATCTCAAAGCAATTGAACCATACACTACAAGAAAATTGGCAGATTGCGACAGGTATTTTTGTAGATTACGACGGTTAAAACCGTCGCAATTTGCTTTTCACGACGGTTGCTTTACCGTCGCAGAAGTGTGTGTCCCCAGCCTATTTCGCGACGGTTACAAAAACTGTCGTTCAAGTTTACGACGGGTTGATACCGTCGTGACTATCTTTTGAGTTTCTTTTAATTATTGATGGCGACGGTTCGATACTGTCGTGAATATCTTTTGAAATTGATTAAATTGTTTATGGCGACGGTTCGATACCGTCATGACTTTTGTTGATTATTTTTAATTGTTGATTACGACGGTTCGGTACTGTCGCCATGACTTTTGTTTATGTCTTGATTTTTTTTTTATTTTTCTATTATATATTTTTTTTATTTAAATTATTATCTATGTAAAAAATTTTAAATATAGTTTTTTTTTGTGTTATTTTTTTCTTTAAATTATTTCTTCTTTAATATATTTATTTATAGTATTATTTTTTGTTTTATTTTCTATCACTTTGTAATATAGTAAAAATAATTTCAACAAAAAATATTTAACATCAAATAAGCATTATAATATCCAAAAAAATGTGTGTTCCATAATCATGTAAAATGCGAGTTCCATAATCATGTCAAGTAGTACAAAAAACCCAAAATATATCAATTCCTAATCTTATAATAATAAGTATCATTATGCCAAAAATACATGAGAAAGTTCACAATCTAATTATCTCGATCATAGCAAAGTCTAATTTGTCCCCCCTGAAGTTCCATTATCTCCAATACGGTAGCTAGACTCAGATGAACGTCTACCATCAGCGGGTGATTCCAATCCCTAAAAAAATGTATTAAAATAATAATCTTTAAAATAATACTCATAAAATTTAACTTTAAATGCGTCAAAATAATATACCTGTCTTCCACTAAAATTCTGCATTTGCATTAAGGGTTGCCTTCTACTTTTGATGGTTCGAGTTTTTCTGTGTTTTGGAAGAGGAGGGACGGGGTTTTGGTGACTCGATCAGCTAAAGTGATTCAGTCTGTAGCTGAATATGATGAGAAGTTGACTTATACTTGCTCGGTTTACGGCAGTAGGAGTGGACCTCACCATTCTGCAAAGTATGAAGCGAAGCACTTTTTGCTATATGCTTCTCTTCTCAGTGCACCGGAGCTTGATTTGGGGAAGCACCAAGTTGATCTCACGAGGTTGCTTCCTCTTACTCTGGAGGAGCTTGAGGAGGAGAAGAGCTCGGGTAAGTGGACTACTAGTTTCAGGTTATCAGGAAAGGCTAAGGGTGCTGTGATGAATGTCAGTTTTGGGTATATGGTTGTTGGTGATAACGCCAGCACGACCAAAGATGGTCATAATGCTCCTAATGTATTGACTTCGAGGCAGAGTGGTAGTCTTCCATTGACGAAACCAGATGTTAAACAGAGACAGTATGATGGAAGCAGCAGTGTGAGGCGTGCTGGAAGTTTTCACGGTGCTTTACCCGTAGACGCTTCTCAAGGTAAAAACCTTAGCAGACTGTACTCGTCTCAAGCTGTAGAGTCGGTAAAGGATCTTCATGAGGTGTTGCCATCTTCTAAGTCTGCACTAGCCAGCTCAATAGGCGTCTTATATAAGAAATTTGACGAGGAAAAAGAAAGCAGATCGGTGGACAACAAACCTGATCCTGATTTGTCAAAAGAAAATATTGAGCTAATTAAACCAGATGCGTGTGCTTCATCTGATATTGAAAAAGAAATGCAGGAAGTGCATGTAGATAACGATGGAAATACATCTCCAGTGCTTGACACACCTGAACTCGATGTATTTCATGAAAACCTAGAGATAGATAAACAAGATGGCTATCTTTTACTTGATTCTGAAAAAGAAAACCCTGAAGACTGTCAAGATAAGGATTTTTCTGTCGTTGATAAGGGTATAGAAATCTCACCAATTGAACCCGTTAAAGTAGAGGAATCATTCACAGAGGCTTCTGAAGATGCTTCTACAGTTGATAGTTCTCTTATCCTAGATACTGCAGGTTTACAAGTTTCTTCCGAAGATAGTTTTATACATGATTCTCTTCATGAGGCAAATGACGGTTGTAAGGATCACACGGTGGCCGATGAATCTGCTTACGAAGATGATGATTTATTCACAAATGAACTGCTGCAAGAATTAGAAGCTGCTATAAATAGTGTCTCAGATTTGGAGACGGTGGCTCTAGAATCTCCAAAAAAATTGGAATTCAGAACTGAATATAAGATGAGAAAGACAGATAGCTTAGACGATGTTACAGAATCGGTTGCAAATGAATTTTTAAGCATGCTAGACATAGACCATAGTTCAGCGGGCTCAAATTCTGGAAACGAGCCCGAGTCTCCGAGAGAGCTTCTGTTAAGACAATTTGAGAAGGAATCACTGGGTGGTGGCTTCTCTTTATTTGATTTTGATATGGACTGTGACAACGAAGCTGGTGATGACTATGATGCCTCTACTGGATCTGAGCAGTTGAACTCCTTATGGTGAGACACAGCTAGCTAATACAAATCCTCATCAGTCATCCGGAAAGGCGTGAATAACCTGGAAAATATTTTATCTTGACCAACAAACAAATTGAAATCAAGGGGGGCCTGAAACTCCAGGGAAGAGTTCATATATTTTATAGAAGACATCCATGACCTGAAACGTAAAGAGAAAGACGGAAATGTAAAATTCAATGTACAAGAGGCTAAAAATGCTTCCAAGAAAGACAAATTGAAGGTATCATAATACCTCCTTATCATTTTGATATTTAGCAATACTCATTGGATTCTGTGAACACTGCAACCAAAACAAGAAGCACTCAGAGATTTGATATGAAATATTAATGAAGTGGTACTTAAAGTAGAACTTACATCCATGATAGCTGCTTGAACTCTAGGATTTTGAAATGCCATGGCAACATCAGGATTGGCCATAATCTTTGAAATGACTTCTTCGGGAGAAAGCCCAATTTGATCTGATGAAAGTGATAATATAAAATGTTAGAAAACAGGAAAGGAGAATGTAGAAAGAATTAAAGAATTGATCCATCTCTCAAAAAAGACATCTCTTGTAAAATGTGAGACATACCAAATTGTTGTTTAACAGCAGGACTATTAAGGTCGAAATTCTTTAAGGTGTCCATCATTCGACTGTCCCATTCAGTGCCTCCAACCATGTTGTTTCTGAAACCAAATATATAGGAGAAAAAGAAAGGATGTGTGAATCCCTAGTGGCCAGAGAATACAGTTTACCAATATATTACTAGAAAATACATTGATTTATATAACTGCAGCACATAGAATGACACTTTAGTGAGAAATAACAAATAAGATTTACATTTCTCTGCAACTTTAGGTCTAAAATCAACGTAGTGACCATGAATCCAGTCATAAGTAAACTCAAACAAAAGGTTATTGTACAAAAGCAGAAGAATGGTCATTTAATTTCCTCCAGGACTGGCATTTATCCTAATTCCAAATGTTAGGTTCTGTTAGGTAAAGAATAGGGAGTCAGATTCAGTGTTAACAAATAGCAGCGCCATGGGCGCTATGATGGATATACATGGCGGTTTTTAGGCTCGACGTAATGGTAAGTATCGGCCGATATTGCAGGTTTTTTTGCCATAATCCGTTACAATGGCGCCGCAGAGCGGCCGATATGGCGGGATTTGGCTCTCCGCCATCGACAACACTACTCAGACTTAACTAATAGTTTTAACGGAATGGGGGGCTAATAGCCACTTGTACTTCACTGACAAATGAAAGAAATGATGACTTCAGAAAGAGGAAAACTAACTTTCCTTAGTGAATGTTTCCATTCACCAGAAAACTAGTTTTTGTATAATCGTCAGACAAAGCAATGTAAGTAAGCACTTCACCAAAAGCTTAGGGCCTTTTTATTTTATTTCATTTACCAAACCAAAGCACCACCTTTTCAATTAATTTTGTGTTTTCAAAGGTTTGCATATGAAACAGTGAAAATTCTATTGTTTTCATTGCTTCCTATAAGAAACTTTGAAAATAGAAAACAGAGGTAAGACAAGACAACATTTTTGTAATTAAGAGTGAATACATAAAATGTTCCTTAAAAGCAAACAAACCTTTATGTTTACAAATAAAATCACCTAGATACATGGAGCAAGAAAATATCGGTGGACAAAAAAAGGCTTGGAAGATACTAGTACAATAAAAAGAACTTACAACATTTCTTCAAGTCGTTGACGGTACTCAGGATTCTGCAGCATCCCTGCCAAAAGCAGCAACAGTACATCAACTATCCATCGGCCAAATTTATTATGTCATGTAGAAATTATCATCTAGCAGTTGAAAGTGACAAACATGATTTTGAGTTTTGATCAGTAGACTTAATTTAACCAACATAAATAGTGCTTCCATTATAATACATGGTACTAGTAATAATGAATGAAAAGACACCCATATAAATGTGTCGTATATAGGAAGTATTGTATATGTAAGTAACAATGAGTATGCTCAAATGTGGTTTTGTGTTAGTTATTTCAATGAAGGCACTAAACTAAGAAAATCATGGTGCCCACATTATAATCAATCTTAATAACATTGATTGACATTGCATAGAACCAGAAGCAAGAAAACTGTTAAGAGAATTACATTTGAAGGTAAAAGGCTTCCTCATCTCCTCAGGTAAATCGCTGCAACAGTGCCCACAAATTATGAGCCTTCTTTTGAATAAAAAGGAAAACAAATTGAATAATATAAACATTAAACAAGCATGCAAACATATAAATTTTTATCAAGGGGCCGTGACGCAAAACGCATCGGAAATCTGTTCGTTCATTTTGAGAATATAGGAATAGAGGGGAGAACCAACAAGTTCCACTCAATTGTAAGCAATTCAAAGAGCAGTAGGAAACCTAATACACAGTCTTTTGGAGATAAATGAGGTTAATTGGAAAGGGAAGAATTTAAACAGAAGCACTGGTTTTTGCGGAAAACTTTGGATGCAAAAACTTTCAATAGAATGTGGGAAATAAACAATAAAAGGCTCTGGTAGATCTTAAGACACGTCACAACTTCCAAAGTAGTTCAATATAAAAATACAGAATGGAACTACTTCTAAGTCCAATGTAGAGTATTATAGGTACTGTTGATACTTGGTACTACTGTCATACGCATTTCTAAGATTAGACAGAACAACACGCTTAAGCAATTTATGTAACCTTTTTTTATATATCCAAAAAATAGGATTTACTTGAAGTTTAAAACTTATCTGTGCTCACTAGAAATGAAAAATAATCATTATTAAAAGATAAAAGGAGCTAATATTACGGATAAACCATCTTCTGCACTGTTGGGTCCTCCATCATTTTCTCTAAAGCATCCACCGATAAGACTGATTTTTCTATCCAAAAAAAAAACAAGGTCATTAAGAACATTTGGTTAATTCATACAGGCACAGAAGCTCATTTATGACAACTTTAAAAGAACAAATATTACAAACACAATGTGTTATATGATAAAAAAAAAGGTATAAATTAATTGCAGCCTATAATGTCAATCTGAGAAGAAAACAATGCGACTAGTAATTACTCATGTGTGATTTATGACGCTGTTTTAACCCAGGGACTGGAAATCAGTATGCAATGTTACACAGTTGGCAACCATTATACATGATTACACAGTTGGCACCTTACGTCTCGGGATTGCTTAAGTTGTGTTTCATGATTAGAATGAGACTGTGTCTGATCTGATTGCTGCCATGGATTCCTTATACTTGAAGCTTGGTTTGTGTCACCTTTTCGCCTGATTTGAGATCTCAGGTCTGCTGTCTTACTCTCCACCATTGTTCTTCCATCCCGAGGAAATCAAAGAAGTTACATTGAAGATATATAACAATCATCGATGCGCACTATCAAACACATGAAATTCAGATAAACACATCAACAGATAGATAGATAGAGTTACCTCATAAGCCTTCTCACTAATGTTGTTTCCTGACTATTTGAAGAAGAAATGCTAGCAAAAGTATGCACAGTGACCTTCCCCTGCACTGAATTCCGAGCATGTATTACTTATGAATGCCTCTTCAGACATGAGTGCAAAACATTGAAATACATTCAATTTGCATGGAAATTTTCATTATAACTATGTCGATTCAACTTCAATTTCAATATAATTACATACATTTCATTCAAGTACATCATAACCTAATAACCCTATTTCTGGTAAGCAAAAATCATATTCATAAGATTACCAGATTTTAGATTTTGGTGAGATTTAGAAGCAGCCCTGGTGACATGAGAGGATGAAGAGTTAGCAGAAACGCGAAAAGTCCCAAAAGCGAAAGGCTTTCTTCTTGTGAAGACGTTTTTTGAGGAGGAATGTCCCAGAAGCAGAGGTTTAGGGGAAGAAACAAGGGCTAAGTTAAGATTCTCCATTTCGAAGGTATGAAAACTGAAAATTGACGAAACTGAGAAATTGGTGGTGGTTGTGAGATGAGAAACTGAGCTTCATGATTCTGCAGAGGAATTTCCATCACAGAAACTTTCTTTCCTTCTCTCACCTTCATCTTCATCATTCATCACAGTTCACAGAAAGCCTCCTTCAAACTTCTCTCTGTTGTCTCCCCTTAATTGCTCTGCATCTTTAACCTTCCTTGATTCGTTATCTTCATACACCTTTAATCTTCATCAAAAATCGCAACACCCTCTTCTGCTTCACCAAATTTGCTTCTCATTAAATTCATCACAATCGCAATGACAACAACAACGATCAACATATCTACATCCTCACTCCTCTGTATTAATATCAACAACTTCATCATCACAGAAACCACACTACATCAGCGACTCCATTGCTTCAACTTCTTCCTCAACACATCTATAACAGTCGTACAACATAGAACATCACAACAACATCATTCACGGAGTCACATTGAAAACAACATAAACACATGGAATCGCATGAAAAAGAAGATAGAAGGAGTCGAATAAGAGGATGAATTAAATACAAAGCATATACTTGAACATATTTTTGGATTTCTCGTTGCTATCGCAATCGATGTGGCACCAGGCTATCTCTGGTAGGTAACACTCATCAATCTCTTGATTCATTCCATTAGTGTTTAATGTTTGTTTTTGTTCGGCTAGTTTGGTTGAATCGATGGAGAGATAAGGGAGAAATGAAAACAGAAATGAAGAGAGTGAAACGAAGAGAGCGAGACGAAGTGTGTTGATAGATTTGAAGACGGATCCGCGAAGAGATGAGGTAAAGAAGATGCATTTTGCAGAGACCTTCTATGGTGAAATGGATCGGAGAAGATTGATACGCGGTAGCGAAATGGAGAGGAATGTTCAAAGAATTAGGACCGTCACAAATTCAATCCTGAATTTCTCTCCATACGCTGTGTTTTAATACTCTTCCATATTTTGGGGGAACTGAAGATAGTTGAGAGTGGTCTGTGGCGGAATGAGAGTTTGGGTTTCGGGTTCCTTGTTTGCGGTAGGGATAAGTGAAAAATAGAAATTTATGATTTGGAACTTGGATTGCTAGAGAATATACTAGAAAATAAAATGCAAGGTAAAAAAGTTTTTTAAAATGGGAAAAATGAAACACTGGTCTTTTAAAAATATAAAAAGAAAAACCAAAATCTACTTATCAAAAAACTCCATAAAAGTCCATGTGAGTTACCTCACTTGGATGGGATATTCTTAGATCTTAGTAAATATGAGTGGTTAGGGTGGCTCACGGTGGTAATAAACTTTATTTAGTGATATTTATAATGTTTACGGAGTAGAAAGTGAATTGATGTTTTATGTATTTTAAGAGCTTTTTAACTTTTTTACGGCGACAGGTGTTTTACCGTCGTGCCCATGAGAATTTTTAAAGGTTTTGGGTGCGACGGTTGTTTTACCGTCGTGAAATGAATTTTAGGACGGATAATTTTACCGTCGTGAAAGGTTTAAGGGTGCGACGGGTGCTTTACCGTCGTGATATGCCTTTTAGGACAGTTAATTTTACCGTCGTGACTAGTTGTTGGTGAAAAATCAATGTTAAAAGTGTTAAATGGAGGCCGACGGTTGTTTTACCGTCGTAATAATAATATTATGATGGTTAAATATATCGTCGCAAAATAAATATTAGGGACGGTTGGTGTCAACTGTCGTAAACACTGTCTCTATATGTCAATTACGACAGTTATCACATAACTGTCGCAATTTTTGTGTCGTTAAACACTAATTTTCTTGTAGTGATACCATTAGTTTCCTGTGGACTCATACAACACAAAACAAGCAACAAATTATGTTAATGATGCATGAACAAATGAATTTCGATTCCAAGAAAATTGTGCAAACCGTGAGTTCTTGTGGGGCGATTCCTTAGGCCTGAGCGCTTGGTTTTGATTCCAAAAGACTCCTGAGAGTTCCTGCAAAGTGTTAGAAACGAGAAAAGACTTTGAATTGCCTTGGAAGGTGGATTTCAGTTTTGACTTTTTGCTTGATTTTTTTGAATATGGTTTTTTTTTCGTTTTAGAGATGCTTAGCCCTTGTAAATGGTATGAGAGGCTTGCATATATGTCTTTGAATGAGAATCAAGCAATAATGTGAGCCATTAACCCTTGCAATGAAGTTTGAGATTATGCCATGAACACCATTTAAACAACTTGCCATTCTTGTGAAAATTTGAATTTTTATGCCCATAATAGGTCTTGAACGAATTTGGTATATGTTTTATGGTGTATCAAAGCTATTCAAACCACAAAATATCCCTCCATTAATTTCTTTGATTTTTATTTGAATTTTAAAGATTTAAAATGCATTAAATCAAATAAAATTAAATAAAAATGGGAAAATTAATTTTTAATTTTAAATAAATTGTGGGACACGTGGGAGGCATGGCCAAGCTGAAACAAGTGGAAAAAGTGGGCCCCTTTTGTCAAAAATGAAATTTCAAGGATAATTGACTTTGGCCATTTCACAAAAATTTCCCAACTTCTCCAATGCATATCTTGCTCAATTTTGAAGCTATGAACATGTTCTTGGACATTTTGGAAAGGTCTTGAAGTCCTCTAACCAATGTCTTTGGTCCCATGTCATTTTGATTTACCAATCTCAAGTTATGGTCTTTGACTTAAAGTGCCTTTTTGTTGACTTTTGAAAATGACCTATAATGTTGAAATTGATAACTTTTTGTGAGAGCATTTCTTGGACTTGGAATGTGAAGATGAGTTGTAGGAAATGTCTTCCCCTTCAAGATGAGCATTGGATGGGATTTTTCTGATGAAACATGAAAAAGTTATGCCTTGGTCAAGTTACAGTTGACTTTTTAACTGTCCAAAAATAGAAACTTTTGACACCTTGATGATTTTTGAGCCATTCTTGAGGAATCATGATCAAGAATTGATCAAATTATGATTGTGGCTTCAAAATAAGATGTTGACCAAAAAATTTGACTTTTGACTGCCAAATGACCATTTTGCCCCTGCAGTTGACTGTGGAGCAATTAGGGTTTTTGACTGTGCAACTTGACTTTGTGAGCCTTGAAACTTGACATGTAGGTGCTTGACAAAGTGTATGAGCATGTGGGACTTGATTGAGCCCTTGAAAACCTCAACTTTCTTTGCAAGAACCAAAACCCTAGTTTGACTGGCTTAGGAGAGTGGTTGACTGTGTAGCCCTTGAGAAGACTTGAGCAAATTGAGATGATGCTTGTCAAAACTTTGAAGAATATGGGAGGGAAAATTTTGGGGTACAACACAGCTCGTCGCTATCTATCTGAAACTCAAAGCTGATATGAGGTATCAACATCTCATGAGGCCCTTCTCTCCTGGCTCTTCGAAACTGACGGAGAGCTAAACATGGGTTATAAGAGATTCCTCCCTGGGTTCCGATCAATGGAACATTAGGATACTCTCCGCAATGATCAATAACGGCCACCTCATCTAAACCTCTGAGAGTCCAAACGATGTTATTATCAATAAGAGACATTATCCTATGAGCCCAACCTCTTCCTTCTTTGTTCTTCAGTTCGAACTTAGGGAGGTGCGAAATAAACCACCTCACCAATAAAGGAGCACAACACCACAAAGTTCCCCGTCTTCGGGCAGTACGAGCATAAAGCTGTTGCAGGATATCACCCAAGAGAGTGGGTACAGGGTTCCGAGAGATGAAGATCCTTATGGCGTTGACATTAATAAAGGTATCAGGATTTGGAAACAATACTAGACCATAGATTAAGAGAGCCAGAATGTCTTCGTACGCCCTGAAGTCTAAGTCATTCCAGAAACTATTAGCTTTGCCAACCAGAAACTTAGCCAAAAAGCCCTTAACTCCACTTCTAGTCTCCCAATTAGCCATTACCTCTT